TTGTGTAAATATGTTGTAAACTATAAAGTACTATGCATATATTGCCACTATTATTATTTTATTATCACTCAGCTCCTGCTCTGAGGTAGCCCCCAATGTAGTAGTAGTAGTATATTTATGCTCGTTTTTTAAGTGAGAGGCAGAATGTTGTGGCTAGAAAGAACCCCAAAACAGAAGTCAGAAATTCTAGGGTAGAGTACTACTTCTACTTCTTATCAACTGTGTGACCTGGGCCAAGTCACTCGACCTCTCTGAGCTTCAGGTGGGCAACCTGTGGAAAATGAAGGGGTTGGACTTTTGGCACTTAAAGAACTTTCTCCCCCTAACATTCTGGGACTCACTTGGTGTGGCCTGGATGAGATTCTGTCACATTGATTCACATTTTTCTCAATAGCAATGTTAGACTTTTTTTAAAAAGGAACTGAGTCCCAGGGAAGTAATAGAAATAAGATGTATATGAAAGTTCAAACTGCTGAGAAAATTGATCTAGGAAAGAATAGCTTTGTTTGTTCCATTTTTGCTAACATAAGTTTCACAAAGATGAATTGCTAAAATATTAATTTAATAAGAATATATATTATTCACTTTTCCTAAGTATAATGAATAAAATGTCAAAATGACTGACTTTCCTTTTCTAACAGACAAAGTCAGGCCATATCTCTTATCTGAGAATGCGCCTCTTCTCCCAAGGAGTCCCAAAGGGTGGGTTTCTCTGTTGATTTAGAGAGTCAATAATTCAGTAAAGTCCCAAGTAAATGGCAGAACACAAGCTCAGTTTGGGTTTTTGTATTCGTATTTTATAAACATTTCAGGTTTTTTTTTTTTCCTGACCCTTGATCTTTTGCCATTCTTAAAGTGAAGATCTTCTCTCTTGGAAGCTTGGTTAGAAACAACCTCAGGGCCATCTCATCCAACTTTTTTGTCTGGGTGGATCCTACTCGTAGCCACACCTCGGGCTGAATATTCTAGTGGTTCTACATATGGATTCCAAAGCTAGATTCACATTCTGGCTCTTTCCTGAATAGCGTTGAGACTTTGGGTGAGTTACTTAATGTGTTCCATGGATCATCAGTTTTCTCATCTGTATAATGGAAATAATAATTATACCTACTTCAGAAGATTAGTATGAGAATTAAGTTATCTTATAAATGTAAAATGCTTGGAATATGCCCGTTACAAAATGAATGCTTAATAAATGTTAGCCATTATTATTATCTTCATGATCTTCTCAAATATACCCTTACTTGAATGCTTTGAGGGTCAACAGAGAATGTACTCATTCTCCCCTCCCCTCCCTACTTCTCCACTTCCACAAGGCAGCCTATTGACATGTTAGTCAGAAGCATTCTGGTTATGAGCTTTGGAGTCAGACAGACTTGAGTGTGAGATCTTATTCTATCTGTACCTTGAGCAGGATAACCCATGGTATCTTCAACTATAAAATGGCAATAATAATACCTACTTCATTTGACTTTTTGAGGAATGGTTAAGGTACTCTATATAAAGCACTTAGCACGGTTCTAGCTACATTGTAGGTACTCAGTAAATGCTAGTTGCTGCTATGATGATGGTTATGAAGAACAAGAAGAAAACAACAGAAGGAGGAAGAAGAAAGTAGCACAGTAGCACACCAGCAGCTGCTGCTCTGTTAAAAAGTTCTTTCTGACCACCTGAATTCTGCTTCCCCTGCGATTTTAGCCCACCAGTCCAAGCTCTGCCCATTGGCACAGTGAATAACACGAATAACACATCTGATCTACTTGGTAGTCCTTCAGGTAGCCCTTCCCCTGTAGCAGCAACCACCACCACCACGTCTCAGTTCCTCTCTCTCCCACTCTTCAGCCATTTCTCAGAGAATGTGGTTTTTAGGCTCTTCCCTGCCTGGAGGTCCCTTCTAGCATGCTCTACATTCTTCTTCTTTTTCTCCTTCTCCTTCTCCTTCTCCTTCTCCTTCTCCTTCTCCTTCTCCTTCTCCTTCTCCTTCTTCTCCTTCTCCTCCTTCTCCTTCTCCTTCTCCTTCTTTTAATGTTTTCTTTTTTTGAGAGAGAGAGAGAGAGAGAGAGTGCAAGAGGGGGGAGGGGCAGAGAGTGGGAGACAAAGGATCTGAAGCAGGGTCTGCACTGACAGCAGTGAGCCTGATGTGGGGCTCGAACTCAAGAATCATGAGACCATGACCTGAGCCGAAGCTGGGGACACTCAACAACTGACCCAGCCAGGTGCCCCCACATCCTTCTTAAGTGGGACCCAGAACACTGGGCCATCTATCTTGCAGGGGAAAACCTCATCCCCCTAGGTTCCCCACAGTCTTTTTGTCCAAGACAGTCAAATAAAAATGGAAGCAGAGGTTGTCCTTGTTCATTTTGAAAATTCCTGTCTAAAATGATCTTCAAAGAAAAAAATAGTGCTTCTGATCTGGGGTACCAGAAGGAGCAGCCCCCAAATAGCCATGTTTGCTGTGAAGTAGTTCAGCACAGCCCCACTGAGGCTATCAAAGGGGGTCTCCAGGTACTGAGGCATTACCTAAGGGCAGCAGGGCAGAAATAAGAAGGCAGCCTGGTGCAGACTGGGCCCCAAGAGGCCTCAGGGGAAAGCTCCAGCTCTGAGGTTAGACCAGGACCCCTCCCCAAGGCAACATTCCAGCCAGTAATGGCTACCACCAACTGAGCAAGTACTGGCTTGGGCAGTGTACCAGACACTTTACTAATATTCCATTTAACCATCACACCAACCTATGAATGCGAAACTGATTATTCTCATCTTAAAGATGGGAAAACCTAGGCTCTCTGGTTCTATAATTTCTTCAAGGTCTATAGCTAGTAGAGTGACAGCAAGGATTTGAATCTAAGTTTGCTTCAGCCTTTTTAACCATTATGCTGTATAGACAGACCCTTACCATGTGGCCTTAAACAAGTGGCTACAACTTTGAGTCTCAGTTCTGTCATCTCTACCCACCTTGCATGGTTGTTACAGGAATTAAATAAGATAATATAAAGTCCCTGGCATGTAACAGGATTTGAGAAACTTTATTTTCCTCCTTTTCGAGCCCCAGCCATCTCACCCCAAAAAACAGAGAAAATCCCTTAACTTTTCTTGGACACTGAGTCTAAGAAAACTGGGTATGTTTTCTGAACCTCTGACCTTGCATGTTGACAACTTAAGCAGGGTGCAAGGAGGGAGCAGGGAGCAGGCAGCCTCCCAGCCTGTTTTGCTTTATAGCATAATTTTTCCACCAGTCTGCATAGTTCTGGCACTATTATGATTATGGTTTCTCCCAACAAACATCATATTTACAAACTACAAATAACAAAGTAGAAGATGCCGGAAGAGCTCTGGCATGTTAATTAAGAACAATAGACAAAGCAGCTGGGCAAAAAATACCAACGAGTCTGAAGCAGAGGCTTGTTGACAAAAGACAGCACAATATTGTATGTTAATTGGGGAAGTGGGTAAACATTTGCCAGCAGCTTGCCCCCCGTGCATTGGAAGACAGACAGCAGGCTGGGCCCTCCCCACCGTCTTGCCTGCCCATCTGCCCAGAACCCAAGAGATACCAGTAGAGCCCCTTTGCTCTGGGGTCTGTATAAGCAGAGAGGATTCTGGAGGTGGTTGTGTCTCCTTAATGACCCTCCTGGGCATACCAGGTTTCCATCTGGATACAGTCAAAGATCGTGTTCCTCCTTCAGCTCGCCAGCCTGCTTGTGACACCAAGCCTCTCAGGGACCCCATTCCCCCTCAGCTAGGAGAAAACAAGCAGAGCCATCTCATTAGGTGTGGCTTGAGTTGAGCAGAGGACAAGATTGCTGGCTTCAAATGCTGTACACTCTGCAGACTGCTGGCCCAGAGCCCCTGTCTCTCACATAGCAGACTACCTGGCCTCCCATCACACACACTCAGAACTATCCATTGATCTGTCTGTCCATCCTTACAGTTACTCACATACACAGGAGCCTTCACTGAACACCTACTCTGTGCCAGACACTGTGCTAATTATATATATTTTTTCTCATTTAATCCACACATCAGTCATGCAAGGTTCATATTAACTTCAAAGCCACAAAGCTAATAGCCAACACAGCTGTGATTGAAACCAGAATCTTTCTGGTTCCAGAGCCCCACTGTCCCTTCCACTACACTACTATTTCTTAACTTTTTAAAATTTATATTCCCTTCTGATAAATAAGAAAACTTTGTTTCTTTCACTCTCAGATTCATAAATCCTCCACCCCTGCCCTGGCCTAAGGGGTCATAAACCTAATATAGGGTTCCTATATGATTAGCCTATCCCAACTGACCCAAGATTTTGTCTAGCTTTACTCCCAACAGTTCATATTATAAAATAATGATTTTTTTTATTTCTAAAATATAAAGTCTTATTGTGGCATTGACTCATTTTTTCAAACTAAAAATCCTCCCACCCCACCAAGGAGATTGTTGATATCCCTTCCTAGGGAGAGTGTCCTCAGTGGAGGATATTGATCTTTGGGCATGGCAGAATACACATTGTCCAGTTTACTACAGGAAGGTTTAGCCATATCAGCCCCAAAGGCTTAGCTCTTTTCCCACCAAGCAGAAAAGTCCTTCCATGCTGTGGGGAGTTAATCAAGCAGAAGTTCCCAGGAGTGCCAACCAGCTGTTCAGCCAACACCCTTCCTTAGGGGCTCCTGTCAGCCAAGCTGAGCTATGTAGGAGGCAAGGACCTTCCACTTACCCAGGAAGAGGTCCAGTCTCCTGAAGCTATGCCTGCCCTGTGGTCAAATGCTAGTTTTTCCACTCAACTATGAGATTTGACCTCTGTGAGCCTGGTTTCCTCTGTTATAAGATGGTAATAACTCCACCTACGTCATAGGTTTATTGTGAGGATCAAATAAGAGAACAGGTTTGGAAATGTTCATGCCTCTGCTTAGCAGACTGAGAGTCAGGGTGCACAGACAAGATCTGAATGCCATGTGGAGAAAACCGTGCTTGTGCCAGTCTTTTGAATATATTTTCTTTCTTTTTAGGTAACTCAGCTGGACCCAAATAAATCACTATTGGAGGTAAAGTTGTTCCCTCAAGAAACCCTTTTCCTTGAAGCAAAAGAGTAAACACAGCCCAGCAGTGGAACCAGCCATTCCTTGACAAGCCAGAGGCCTGCGTCAAGAGAAGGGCTCCTCGCCAACCCACCTACACGCTCGTCTCACTCAATTCAGTGTCACACTCTGCCTCTTGCAAGATTGCTGGAAAAAAGTAATAATAAACATAGCTACTTAAAAGTTCCCATCCATGAGTATATGTTCCCAGTCCTCATAGAGAATTACAACTCTACCACCCTCCCTTATCCCCTTCACCTCGCCCTTGTTCAATGACTAATGCACCGTTCAAGTGTGAGTGATCACGAAGTAGAATTTTTACCTCTCGAGTGCCCATCTTTTCCCCACACTGTCTAGGACAGTTCTGTCTGCCCTGTGACACCAGGATGCTATGTATTTGATATGTCTCATTGAGCCAGGGCTCATCCACCTCTGCCTTTTTATTTTCATGACTGGATTTCTACTCTGTCACCTAATTTTAAAAGGCATGGGGGAAATAAGTTAAATGGGACTTCTCAGCATGGAGATTAAACATTGTTGTAGGAAAAAAAGCATATCATCTTTGTTGGTACTTTCTGACTTCTTTACTAAGATGTAAGGTGTGTTTGAGGACTGCATTCGACCTATATGCAAGATACTTATTTACTGCTGCTCCCTCGGGTCTCCGGGTTCCACCTAGGAGGTATTTGCTGTTCCCATGCAACATGGGAAACTGTTTAAGCACATTATGTGAATATAGAGATAGTGTGAAGAGGACCAGTACCAGAACTTTGGTATCTCGCCCAGCTGCGGGGAACTGCTGTTAGGTTTGCATTTGGGCAGATACCAGCTCCCATGTTGCTGATCCTTCAGTGTACACTGAACACAGTTCTCTCCTGCTTTTCCCTCCCTCCACTCCACCGTGCGTTTGGACCTTGTTATTTCTTGTTTTAAGCACCTTGTCTATCACCAAACTCTGATCAGTCACCCCATGGACTCTGAGCCTCTATAAAACCTTGCTCCACTATTTCACTCTTCTAATGTTTTAGTATTAGATATTGGGTCCCCTTCTCAAATGAAAGGGATGCCATCCTATGGCTGAAAATTCTGACTACATGTATTTAAGAGAGCAAACTTGGGGGCTCAGCTCAGAAGACCTGTGTTGCCTGAATCTACGTATAATAATTTGGGGACGGTTTAGTAACTGTGGGTTTTTGTTAATCTGTGGATTTGGGGTTTGAAGTTTAGTTCACGGAAGCACTATTTATGCCTTCACAGCCAGTGATTTCTTTTTGGTCTTGGAATGTTTCTCCACATCTGTTTTTATGTCACCTGTGGTCTCTATCCCAGGGATTAGGATTCTGATTTTGACATTCTCTATTTGTCCAAAGTATAGTCTAAGTGCTGGTTTTTACCCCTGGCCCAAGTCAAGGGTTCCTTAGAACACTCCAACTGAAGCCTAAGATATGTTTAGTCATTTTCCCTTTGCCTGGAAGTGGATATTGGCCAGGAAAATTCCACCTTGTGTCTTTTCTCTGATGCTCCAAACAGGGACCTCCCCTGAACACTTTCTTACAAGAAAGAAATGTGTTCCTAACAGACCAGTGCTCCATCTACTTAGGTGCAGGCCTTCTCTGGCCCCAGAGGTCTCCCAGGGAGACTGAAAGGAAAAGAGACCCACTGTGGGGGGAGCACTTCCTCTCCGGCTCCACTCCTACCTCCCTTTTTTTTGGGGGGTGGGGGCGGTCCACACCTACCTTCCTACCTGGTGGTCCCACAAGATAGTCCTCTCCAATGCTACAGATGCACTAGGGCACCAGGTCTTCTTTTTCCAGGGAGACCTTGTTCTGTAGCTGCCATGCAGAAGCTATAGCCCTGAATGCAGACCATACTTAGGAACAGCAGCAAGAGTGTGGGTGGGGGTGGAGAGACAGGACTCTGAATTCACTTTCATGTTTAACCTGTTCTGTCGGATTTAAGTTTGACTTCATCATATTGTTCTGCCCTGTCATCTTCACTTCTGTATTCCAGTGGTACAGACTTTATTCTGAAACTGATTTCATAGAAGTTATTAAGTGCTTCCTTTTTCGACCCTGACTTGAGAGATTCTCCTTACTCAGGTCTCATGAAATCCTATCCTATAGGCCCTCATTGCCCCGAAAGGCCTCAGCTAATTGTCACTGTTGACTGATGCCATTCTGTTCTGTCGAACTCCAGAACAGGAGACCAAAGCAGTTTTAGGCTTTTTCCAACAAGTACAACATTAAAACAATTTGCATAAAGTTAGGTTCTAAGAAAAACATTAAGCAACTTGCTATCACAAGAGGAGCTATTAAGTCATTTCTGCTATCACAGAAATAGCGATGTCTTTTGGCAATTCTTCCTCATACCTTTAAACTCCCTTGCGCTTTGCATCCCAGCCTCCAGATGCAGTGAGTCAGTCAGAACAAGTGCTCAGTGTTCTTATGCCCAGCTGTTAATAGTGAAGTTCCAGGGCTCCTTGTCATCCTCACTCCTGTTCCAGTTCATTCCTTAGTGTTTCTCAGATTATCAGCTGTATGTTTGAAGCATTAGTTTGAAGTTTTAAGCAAGTATTGACAATATTCCACAGTCTCTAAGAAGGTGCAGTTTGGGGAGGTTTCTGGTTTGCAATGTTGCCATGCTCTGGCACCACTAGTTTTATGGGACACACAGGTGTTCATCTCTGAATTGTAAGCATCCAAAGTCTTGAGTTGGATGAGACTTTTGTGGAATCTTTCTTTTTTAATGTGGGAGAATAGGATTTGGGCTTTTATAAGTTTTATTTGGTGACATTATAAACATAAAATAAGTTTGTGGTTGTATTAAAATCACTACTCCCAAAGCTACACATGCTGACCTGAGTATGCTGGTCAGTGGGTTTAAAGATGTTGCACAGCTCTGGCAGATTTTCCCAAAAGCACAGAAGTTGTTCATTTGGATAGGGGGAGAGCGTCTTAATTGTCCCCATGAGCAGGATCACTGGCACATTTCTACCATCCCTCTCAGCAGTCCCAGTCCCAGATCCCATAGGTAGCTGGAACATGGAATCCTAAATTCAGTCCACGAGTAATCACTTAAACATCACACTTCACAACCTATGTGACCCTTTCATATGCATTATCTCATTTGATCCTTTTAAAAATTCTTGGAGCTATCTCTCTCTCTCTCTCTCTCTCTCTCTCTCTCTCTCTCTGTCTTTTGCTCTCCCACCTCCTCTCCCTCTCTCCTCACTCTCTGTCTCTGTCTCTCTCTCTCTCTCTCACACACACACACATATGAGATTTTAGGGTCTTCCAGTTTGAACCTTAGTCTTGCCACTTAATAACTGTGTGACCTTAAGGTAAGTAACGTCTCTGAACCTCCATGTCCTGATGCATTCAGATAGCATTTTGCAGTTTCCCACCCCTTCTACACACATCACCATGGCCCACTGCAGTGAGAGAAGCAGGGAAGAGATGATTATTCCATTTTTGCATGTGGGGCTCAAAGGGCAGCGCTTGCCTGAAGTCACACGGGATGTCAATACAAGAGTCCACACTCAAGCCCGAGGTTCTGATTTTCAGTTTCACAGCTCTTTATAACAAATGTCTAAATTTTATGTCCAAGAATGGAGCTTGGTATCCCCTAAATTGTGTATAAAAAGTTAAATGTGTAGTTTTCTGGAAGAGGAAATCTGTATTCATCAGATTCTCACTGGGTAATATTAATGCCAGAAAATTCAGAACCACCATTTATGCAGATACCATCAGACTATTTGGGAAGTTCGTTTCTTTTCATCAAGCCACATTTTCATCTAAAAGAAAGCTACACCCCCCAAAGGGGGTGAGATACAACAGTTGGGCTTTCTTGACTTGAACCTCCCTCTGCATTTAGTGCTTCTCTCTTGTCTCAAATAATCTGCTTTGGAAGGTGACCTCTAACAACCCCAACTGGCCTTACAGCTCCTCCCTGCTGTATTTTGAAAGCGTGGTCTGAAAGGAAATACCAATAAAAGAGACTTGCTCTCCAGTCTTCATTCTGTTAACTCTCAATTTGCACATTATTAGTTGTTCTCAGTTGTGAGAGGTGATACAATGTGTGGCTAAGAGCATAGCCTCTAGAGCCATATTGCCTGGATCCAAGCCACTCCTGCACTTACTAGTAGTGTGCCCTTTGGAAGTCACTTCACCTTCTTGTGCCTCACTTTTTAGCTAAAAAAAAAAGGTAACAACAGTACCTAGTTGATAAGATTCTGAAGATTAAATGAACTAACATTTAGCAATTAGTTAACATGTAGAGCAGTTAGCTATTATCTGGTCTACAAACTCACATGGTGGGGGGAGGGGTGGATTAAGGAAAAGAGAGGGAATGATGATAGCAGTGACAAGTGGCCATTTATGGGGGAGGACACAGAAAATATGAGAAGCAGAAGAATTCCAAGAGAACTGCTCTGTGGCCCTACAGGGAAGAGTAAAGACCCCTGCACAAAGTGTCACTGTTACTGGTGTCCAGAGGCTAATCCTGGGGCATCATGGGAAGGAGGGAAGAGGAGACTAACTTGCTGAGCATTTAGGATGTACTCAGTAATGTGCTCAGAGCAGTACATACATTACCTCATGTAATCCCACAACAACCCTGTCGACTGGGTGATCTTGACCTTATTTTGAAGAAGAAACAAGCTCTGAGAGGTAAAGTCTAACTAGCCTGAGTTCCACAGCTTATAAAAGAGCAGAACAGAGTTTGGGACCCAGACCTTTGACTCCAAAGCTCCTACTGTGTTTATGGCAATGCAGTGCCACGTTCAAGGAAAGTATGACATATTACCAAGCATTTCACATAGTCACAATCATAACATTTTTTAAATGTTGATGGATACAAAAATGGGTAAAGCCTTACTTCTATAGAAAATTTAGCTCTCCAAAATGACTCCTTCCCCAATGTGTCAGGGGCCAAGTTTTAAGCAGTGCCTTTGTTTTTAAGTACATGCAGTGATTTAAGAAGCATCCTGTAGCTTCTACATCTTTGACATCTCCGAA